GAATAATTGATAATCAAAAATAGGAAGAAATGGTCCAAAGGGGTAGGGGTAGTGGGAGGGGCAGGGGAAAGGAAAGAAAGGAAAGAAAAAATGCAGAGAAATGGAAAAAATGGAAATAAAGTCTTTGTAAATAGGGAAGGGTGGAGGGGTGAATAGAGGGCTAGGAATAGGGAAAAAATAAGAACCAAGGTACAACATGTAAAGGTACAAGTTCCCAATGAGAAATGTAAATGTGTTGTATACCTAAAATGTACCAATAAAAGAATTTAAGTAATAAATAAAATGTAAAATAATAAATAAATAAATCTATTACACCTTCTTCCATTGAAAAACAAGGAAAATTATATGAAAAGACATGACTACAATATCTTGGCCATAACAGTCATCATCATTACCTGATAACCAAGTGCCCTTCATGAGTTAAGTCTGGCCCAGAACTATGTGTTCAAGGCATTTATTGAATTTTCAGTGGGGTTTGGGAGCTCAGAACGATGAGAATCAAAGGAACCTGACATAAAACAGAGCTAGAATTCAGTAACTCACCTTATCCCCTTCTTCTACCTGACAAATTATCTCTTCAGTTGCTGGGTTAATGACAGAAAATTTCTTGCCACTCACTGAATTATTCCATTCATTGTTTATGAAGATCTGTAGGGATACAGACAAAGTAAATTAAAAAGCATTTAAACAGTTACCAATTTTTGGAAATTTTTATGAATTTAAGCTGAAGCATCACACAAGGCCTAAAAATTTTTCCCAACTAAATTAACATTTTGATTGTAACTGGCATTTTTCATAGGAACACACATACATATACACACACATGTTTGCACAATAAAGTGATATTTTTTAAGTTTCATGAATGTATACTGTTTTCTCAATGCTTTCAAATACAGAGTCTAGAAAACAATTTTATAAATGTTGTTTTCATAAAAGCATCTCCTAATTTATTTGTCTTCAAAGGAGATCAGGTACTAGATTTCTTAGTCATATCAATGACATGCATGCTGAAAATTTAGAATATTATTCTATGTGCACTATATCACAACAAAAGTTTAAAAAACCATCAGTGTGTCATTTATAATGTTTCAGTTTCAACTTTTGCACCTCTGAATTTGTATTTCATTGAAAAACCAATTTGATGTTCATTTTCCTTTTATTGGATAAAAATAACTGACAAAACCAAATTAAAGAATACAATTATGTGATGGTTAAGGCTATATTCTGTTTCTGACCAATGCTAGAATTTTTCCTTTTTTTATCTCTTTATTTCTAATTTATTCATTTTCTCTTTATTGATATATGAAGCAGTCATAAGTAACTATTGGTAATACATTGTACAGATTTTTGACAACTAAAATTAGCTCATTTAATTTTGAATCAGATATTTGATAAATATTTTCTAAAATAACGTTGCCTTATGTACTGGGCTTGTAAAACATATCTTATTTCAGATATCCATCCTTACTTGATATTCAAAGATAGGTATCCATAGTTCAATCCTGAATGTATCAAAACACCATTCCCCAAGTTTTAAGTTAGGTTTATGCTAACAGCAAGTCACTGAAAACTAAAAATTTCTCAGTGATGTCTACCAAAATTATACATTCTGCACATGAGTACACTATATTAGTGATTTGCTACACAATGGGCTGGAGGACAAACCTTTCTATTTGCCTGTTCACACCAATTCAGTTATTCACACAAAAAGCAACATCATCCTATCTTTGTCGAAGAATGCAAAAGAATGGTAGTGCCAGGCTAGAACTGATAGGAAAGGATGTATGCGTGAATAAATAAAGGATGGAGTCCAAAACAATTCTGATGGAGATCAGATGGAGAGAGACACACTTATTAGGGTCTAAGAAAGAGTACCATCAAATTCGCGATTCACGGACAGTGTAACTGAATAGAGATGAAGCGCACAAAACTTGCCCTATTATCCTTCAAGAAGAATAAATGTTGGTATCTTTTTTCAACTTGAAGGAATACAAATTTAAAGAATTAAAAGAAAACATACAGAGTTGATTTTGTTTTGTTGGCCTTTTGGTGAGACTTTCCAGTTCTTGTTTGAGTCCTTTTATTTTTAGGTCTGCGCTAAATTTTGGTTTCAAATTCTGAATAATATGAGCTCAATACATTTTAGTTTTGTTTTACTCGCTTCATCTAATCACTTTGGGTGAAAAAATCATTACAACATAAACTGTACATAAATTTCCTTCTTCAGATTAAAGTCAGTTAATGTTTGTGAAAATGAATATTAATTTAAAGTAAAAAGACAGTTTATGTAGCATCCTTCATGCGACTGAGGCAGTAATCTGCAGATATTTCCAAATCACCAGCCACAGCACTGAATTAT